CCCATCACCAAATAATCATTTATCACATGAATCGAATTAACGACAATGACACAAATATAAAATGTAGATCTTATATACTTTGGAAGGATTTTTTCGCCGATAATATCCGTGAATCTCGGCTATCACATCGTGTATACGTGGTAATCACCGAATGACATCGCCTGTAGTGCACGTTGATTTTGGTAAGTAAACAATACACAGGTCCCGGGTATGTACCAAAAGTGTGCCATCAGTCCTCGCGCTCCAAAGTTTGCTGCACCAACTTAGAACCATTCGAACTCCTGATTTTTTGCTCTTTCTGCTCTCTCTTACCTGATGCAGTGAAGTGAAGGACACCCATACTGATACGTTCGCACTGCCCCGATGGCCACGACCTTTCTTCTCTGCGAGTGGGTGGAGTCAATAGGTAGGCGTGGCTTCTGCTTGTGAGTATGTCCATGTACATGTTCGCGTGTATCCCTATTCAAAGCGAAGCTACAAACCGCGCTTCCGGTATTTAGAACTTGTGGCCGTATCCACCCGGAAAACCTCGTCTTGCCACGATGTGACTCAAGGTGAGATCGATACAAGCACACTGTCCAAACATGGGCTCAAGACAGGAGGCCCGTCGCGCGGCAAGAAGGCAGATCAGCGGACGAGTCGCAGCGCGTGCTGTGCGATGTAGGACGTACAGTGGTACATTCTACTTGACGCGAAATCACTATAGTACGCGCTGCGACTCGTCCGCTGACTCTGCCTTCTTGCCGCGCGACGGGCCTTCTGTCGGGTATTCCCAACGACCTGCGGATTGCTGAAATCACAGCTTGAAGTCATTATTCAAGCAAAATACCCGAAACAAGAGCAGAGCTATAAGCAGTTTGAACGGTCCGTCTTGGATGCAGCGAGTTTTTGCGCCGCTTAACCAACGGCGTTATCTCTTGGCACATACCCATAGGTCCTCATGAAGAACTAAACACATACTTTTCTTCGTTAATGCCTCTGCACCTGCTTCGAAGAATAACAAGCAGCTTCTGGCGAAAATTGTCCGAACTCAGGCAGAACACCACAAAATTCAAGCATTTGCCAATTATAACCAGAAAACTGGTAATTACTTCTAAGTTATACCTGAAAGCACAAAATTAATCAAAAACTGTGACGTGAAAAGAAGTAAATAATTTGAAAGAAAACTAAAAACAAAATTTTAAAGAAAACTTCAGGTGACTGAGACCCCAAAACGAAAAATGTGGACAGTGGACCCGATTGAAAAGTAGCGGATGCGGTAAATAGCACCCATTTTCGCAGCACCATCACCTTGCTATAGAAATGGCATTCTTCATCCGTGGAATGAACCTTCGTAAAAAATATTGAGCAAAATTTAAATTTGCGACTGACCAATTGCCTTCGAAATGTTGATCAATCCACATCGATCGCCAAAAAAGCACCACAGCTGATGGAGCCTGAAATTTTGCTTCACTTGAGAATGAATACGCTTTGTTTCGTGCTGGGAGTCTGGTCCTGATTGCACAAATTGCAGAACTGACGGCATCAAACAGTAGGTAACAGGCGTATCAACAATTTGCACCAATATCATATGGAAGTCCAAGGTAAAACCGACTTTTCAAAGCTCAGGGTCACATTGTCACAGATTCTGCACTTACGACAAGTTCCTTGCGGTTGGAAACACAGGAATATGTAGTTCTCAATGATTTGGGAATTTACCAGCGCTTCACTAGCCTTAGCAAATGCCTACTTTTTCTTTAAAAACACAGTCATTCAACAAGCATTGAACAGCAAAATATTTGAAAGAGCTCGCAAATCATTCTTCAATTGAGGGACAAGAAGTTACTTACTTCTTAGAAAAACGCTTCATTCAATGGCTCTGTGCTGCATTCTGAGCGCTTTCCTCAGGCCCTTTTCATGATATTATGAGGACATTAAAGAGTAGAATGAAAAATCAAAGTGAATGGAGGGGCTTAAATGACCCATACTTCGCTTTTAAATGGTTTATGGAGAGAGACGTTGTTCAGATCACCCTGGTAAAACCATCCCGTGAATGCATTTGGCCCATATACAGACCCTGGTGTATTTGAATGTAGCCAAATGTGATCATTCAGCATCACCAACCTCTATGTGAGATTCGCACGCATTATACTTCTGGTCAGGATAGCTACTACATTTGAGTGCCAAAGAAAACTTGAACTAAACTTAGGGGGCTAGTAGGTATGCGCCACGCATGCTATTTACGCCAGCAATTACAGTAGCATTTTGGAGCGTATCCGCCGTGACCTAAAACGAACCCGATCGCGAGAAATGTTTTAAAGGTGGATGCCAATTTGCCAAATTGGAAATGCCAAATTTGGCTGTGTATTCCCCTTCGCTTCCCGTTTTTGACGAGTCATTGGTACTGACGTCATCGTTGTTAGCAGTGTGATCTGCTCTCCGCTTAAACGGCTAAGGCTAGACGGCTGGGAGCCGTGGGTGGGCTGAGCTACGAGTCATCAAAAGGGGCGCGGAAGTCCTTGTCAGACCACTAACCATAAGAGCGCTCTGTTTGACCGCAAAAGCGTCACGTTTTCTGGAGACACAAACTTCGTTTTTGCCTTTCTCCAACGCACAATAGGTTGTGCAATCTCGTCGCGCCTTGAACAAGTTAAGTCCTATAAAATTTACCAGCAGCATCAAGAAGAAGCTGAAATACCTCAGCCAAAGTCCGAAAGCTTTTTATTATCAAGTTGGTTCATAGACATTACCTGAGTAATCGTAAAAGATGTGACAACAGCACAAACAGTAACTGCCACTCGATGCTCCATTTTTTGTTGAATCAGCTGAAAAAAGCACTGATTTTTTTCGTCAATGTCCAAGCTGTAACTTGTTCTGCCATCATCGAAGCTGTGATGATTTTCAGATGTGAGCATTAAATAACACTACACCGTTTTTCCTCGCTAAAGGGCCGCCATAATAACACACTAAGTATTTATCATCATGGTTTATTTTCCCTGAGCGGCCCTCTGAATGCCCAAAAAGCAGTTAAAAAGCAGTTAGCACACCAGTTTTTCGCGACAACCTAATTATACAAGTTACTTATGGTTCTGATGGTAATATGGCAATGTGGCATCCATTAATTTTAATTTATTACATGTTTTTCACATGAATTGAACAAAGCAACAAAAAAGAAGAAAACAAGACAAAATGTGAACGAAGATGCAGCATCGATAAAACGGTGTAATCCAAAAAAGGCTACTGTGTTATCAAGTAACAAAACCTTATTTGCCTTGATTCAGATAAGAGATACCGCTTTTTTGAATTGAGAGAAAGAAGCTGGAAAGGAAGACCCTCACTCATTTTCACATACTCCATTCCCGCTCGGAACGTGAAAAACCTGCGCCCAACCGAAGAGTGGGGTTGCCAAAATACAAGCTTGAGCTTCTCGCCCCTAGTTCGAGACTGGACCAATTCATAGAAAGCGCGTCCTCCTAAGTCGACTTTTGTGTTAAGTATGTTATAAACCGGGCGGAAGTGGTGTAGTGACAAGTGGCACCACGTGACAAGTGGCGCGCTTACCACGCGAGCGGTCCGGGGATCAAATCCTGGGTCGTGAGTCGCCCGGGCCAACCAAGCCTTCCATCCCTCCGGGGTCGGTTAATTGGTACCAGACTTGTCTGGGAGGATAAAAACACTGACTTGTACATCGGCTGGCCCCCGCAAGTCATTGTATAGGCCACATCGCATTCAAACGCCACTACGAATGTACAAATGGAAGTAGAATGCGTGCCGCATCCCAAAAAGGGATTGATCAACGGCAAATGCTTTATCCTTTTATGTTATTAAACCATGTTAATATCATTCTCCCCATCCTCAGTTGCAAGGTTCCAAGCCAAGTATTTTGTTCCTTATCAGCCCTCGAGGAATGCTACTGTAGGAGAAACCTAGTGCCCTGAGGAATAACTTTCTGGTAAAATTATTCTGTATCTTTGGTTTGTTGTTGTTTGTTGAGTCTGTTTACAGAGATTTTACTTTGAGGGAAGAATATGCATGTGCCATATTCTAAAACTGAACGAACATATATTTTATAGGCTCTTAGGAGTAGTTCGGGATTATTGGATTTGATCGATTCAAATTACCTCTATTCTGCTTTTGTTACCAAGCTCTTCATATGCTCATCAAAGCGCAATTTGGAGTCAATAAGGAAACTGCAGGCACCATTTTGCGACACCATGCAAGCGCCGTCAAAAGTGCAAAACTTTGTCATCACGAGGAATCGAACCATGGATCCTTCTGCCCCTTTTCATAAAATGCGGCACGTTCCTTTGCTCTATGCACGTGTTCCTACATGGTACAAAAAAGTTCTGAAAAGGCGGGGAAGACCTTCCCGGTGAAAACATTATAAGCCTGACGTGATACAAATTCTTAGCGAGGCCACCACAACGTGCGCCACGCGATAAACCGCTCACCTCCTTCCTCCTCTTCGCGTACCCGGTAGGAGGCCCGCCGCACAGCATCGGTCAGTGGGACGAGTCCCCATCGGTAATTTCCTCTCCAGCAGAATAGAGTATTACCCAAATTTTAGTTACCGGGTTCACTTATGCGCGAACCTTTGCATTATGGGAACATTATTGCAAATGAGATCGTTGACAAACGTCATTAAGTGGTCAACTTTTAAGTAGCACGAGTGAAACGCAAATTTTCGCTCTGCTGAGTTATGGGCAGAGCGCCACACTTTGACTGTGAGCCGAACCTGTGACCTTGTTTCTCGAACAGTGTGCTTACCCTCCACACCACAGAAGCTATGATAAATTCTTACAAGGGAGGTCTTCCAAGGTACGGGGCGCTTTTTCAAAACGGTTTCTTACAAGCTGTAGGGGCTGTCACACGCAACCTACAAAACTGAAGTTCATTTTCGCTGAGCGAACCTTGTAGGCCAAAAAAGGTTCGAAAAAATTCGTATAGAGTGAGTGGGTGATTTCGCAGCGTTGGAAAGATGACCATTCCCATTTCATTTCACCTTTAAGGAACAGCTCTATTTCCTGGTGATTAATATGACATTGGGGTTAGAGTTAGTATACATAGTGGTGTTAGCGCTTTCTGGATCAGTTTGTAAGCTCAAAACTAAAATACAAAATTTTTGACACCGCGGGGAATTGAACCTTGGACTATTCGTTCATCACTTTATGACTTTAACGGGCCGCTCAGCAAAAATGGACATTGCTTTTGGTTGTAGGTTCTAGCGCAGGCTTGCAGTGAAACGCAGATGACCGTTCTGAAAAAGCGCTCCACCCTCTAGAAACCTCCCGTGTCAATAGCCGGCTTGGTGTAGATTGCTAGCTCTCATTAAAAACACAGCCCAGGCGAAATCGTGTGCACGCTTCTCTTTGATCTGCGTTATAGCCCTCTCGAGGAAAATCACAAATTTGGTGTTCCCGCGCACGGAAATCAGCAAACACGGAAAAGCTGGAAGCTTCAGCACCTCATAAGGCTTGCACGTTAATGGCAGCACCAGTGGCAGCACGAGTGGCAGCACTCTGTGGTGTAGTGAATAAGCGCCCAACTCAACCACCCCAAAGGCAACACGGTTCGAGACCTATATGGCTTCATGCACTTCTTGGCCAAAGCTCAACACCGTTATTTCCCATCGAAGCATTTGGTGAAAAAAAAACAGTTGATTTCCATGCAAAACGACAGGACGATTTTCTCTACAGATCTATTCCTCTCGGGACCTACATTAACCGAATACAGTACCTGATCGCTGTGCCGTCGAAAAAGTGTGCCGACAAAGGGCAGTTTTGCTTGTCCTTCTCGTTGCATACGCCGTGTAAGTTTGGTCAGTGATGCGTGAAGGAAGAATGATCTAGAAATACAATACGACAGCTGTTACCGTATTCTACCGTACCATACCGTACACTATGCAGAAACGCGGATTTATCCAGTTACAGTTGTACCTTTTCTTCACGTAGTACATTAGCATCGAGTTCAGCACGACGAGGAACACCAACGGTATTACGACCACCAATGCGACATTCGCTGCTCGCATCCATTTCACGTACTTGCCGCAAGAGATGAGATGATGGATTAGTGCTGTTTGCTTGCCATCTTAATTTCACAGAAAAATAAAATAATAAATAAATACATAATGCATAAATGGTACAAATAAAATACGACGCGATCATACAGTAATCTTTTTTCGAGATGGTATACGCCATGCATCCGCCCTTCCCTTAGAATCCCACATCTACTTGCTAGCCTCTTTTCCTTTGCAAGAACTCTTTGATATAAGTTTTGTTTTGTTTTCATTGGTTTGCCGTTTTTTGCTATGGTAGAGCTTTCACAAGATTACTATGGGCTAAACATAAAACCTGTGGTGCTGTCAACGCCATAGCGCTTCACCCCCCCTCGACTGACTGGCCTGCACAACTAAGCCCAAGCTTCAATGCATTTACAACAAAAAAATCGTTCAAAATTCATATGCGTTCTGGCCTGCAAAGAACCTGAGCCCAGTCCTTTATGCTGCCTCAGTGTGCTGTTCTTATGTGTGCTCTCTGGTTAGAGTAGACATTGCACCATAGCCTCCCACACTTCAGCTTTTACTATGGGGTAAGTTGCGCACCCACCCCGGAGTTCGATCTCCCTTCAAGACTTAGTCTCAGAGCACTTATGCATTTTTTCAGCATTAGTAGCTAACACAACAGCTATACTCTATCCGCCTGCGCTCTAGCTTTTCGCAGCACGTAACATAGAGGCGTGTACAAGTAGTCAAGTAATCAGAGTGACCATAGTCAGCGAGTTATCCTCAACTCCATACTCACACCTTCTCCTTGTTTGGACCTGTTGCTGAGAAGTGTGAGAGTTCTGCTGGTACGTCCATGTGTTGTGCGCGTTTCGTGATAACGACGTGGGTCAGGACATAACTGTTGCGGCGCCGCACCAAACTGATCGCTGCCGCGGCGAAACTACTGAAACTACTCCGCTGCGACTCCTAAGCATACGAGGCGCGTGACGCCGCTCCTTGGCAATGCGCGTGTTTTTTCATAATTCCCACTACCTAGCCAACCTCCACGATAAAGATCTCGGCCGTCTGAGCAAAGCGCTTACACCAATTCATTCCGAGAATATGAAGAATCGGTCGTTAAAAATCGAGTTTTAAGAAGAGCGCAAGGGGGAAAAGATCGGGCGTCAGAGCAGCTAGTCAAAGAGGCACCTCAAAAAGGAAGCGTTCCAAACTTCTTACCATCTACCCAAATGTTCTATTATTTGTATTCAAACACTACCTCATATAACGCTAACTAATCTTAATCCCATAATCTTCATTTAATTATACACATAATTTCTTATGCAACAAGTCCTAATTTCTTCTTTGGCCATCTCTTTGAAATAAGTAAAAAAAAGTGACCCGAAAGCGTACCCGTTAGTGGTAACGTCGACACATTTTGCGATCCACTGTGTACCGTGACAAAAGACCTTCATAAAACATTGCTGTGATACGTGATAGTAGCATGTGAGAGCTGCACAAGCTGACAACAGTAAGAGCAACCCTGAAAAAAAAAACAAATTTGTGGGACACTGAAGTCATGGAGGCAACACGTGAGTACTGTGCGTGCGGCCGCGAAGCGGTGAAGTCAATGGGCAATTCATAAAGCCCCCTGCTGCGCTTCAATCACATC